ACAACCATTTGTCTGAAATGGGATACGGTTTCCTGACTGAGCAGGGGGTTGGACTAGAAGACCTCCAAGATCCCTTCCAACTCTGTTATTCTGTTGCCAACAACACAAACAGGTTTTAAAACTATTTCGTTACTGAATTTATTCCTCTCTCCCTCACCCACCCAATCTGACCATCAACCAACTCAATGTTCCTGCCACTTTGGACAGTTTGCCATCAAAGGGTATTTAATTCAGTTCCCCTTTGGCACAAGAGCCTCGTTTCTCAACGTCCTTTGCACTTTTGTAAATACATTTAATAATAATGTATCAATCCTAGCTTGGGGCTGGCCTGGGCTTAAATCTGGGCTTTCCCAGCTGCAAGTAGATAACAGAGACAAACTTTATGGTGCTTTGCACCGCATAAAGCGAATTGGCGGCGTTCACACGTGCTCCTCCTTGCCCCCATTGTTGCTGCTGCTCGCTTGCCGCGCGGTGCAGTCGCCCAGGCAAGGCTCCCCCCTCCCGTTCGGCGTTCCACAAACCCACTTAATTGTTGTATTCATTCTCGGGCACAAACATTCGCAAAACAATTTGCAAAAACAATTCGCCTTCCTGGAAATGGGCAGCTCCCCCTTTGCGGGAAGCCCCGCATCCCCTGACCCGGAAGTGCTTTTTTCCCCAGAGTCAGAGTCACGCTCAAGATGGCGCCCTCCTGCCGGATAACTTTCTCCTTTCCTCCCCCGAAAAAATTCGTAACGGGGCTTCTCGAAAGCGGACTTGGCTTCCCCGTTTCTTCCCCCCACCCCCGAAAATCCCCCCAAGTAAAAAAAAACACAAACCGTTGCTTTTTACCTCATATCCGCCACATCCAACATGGCGGTGCCGCCTACGGAACGCCGCTGGGACCATTTGGAGTCGTCCCGCGCCGCTTTCTGGAGCTGCTGCGCATGCTCCGTCCGCCGCCTCTTCCTGCTCCGTGACTAAGCTGCCGCCGTTTGGGGAAGGAAGATGGAGGAGTCCGCGATGCCGCCGCTGCCTTCGATGTTCTGGGCCGGGGGTCCCGCCCCGGGGAAGCTCTTCCCACTGGGCAGCCCGACCCAGCACTCCGGGGCCCAAAGCGAGGCCTCCAAGCGGACTCTGTAAGGCTGGGGGAGGGGAGGGGGGCAGGGGAAGCCCCTTATAGCGGGGATGCCGCTGGTGCGTGACGTCACGATAGGGAGGGGGGTAAATCAGGGTCTTCCTCTGCGGAGGACTACAGTTTCCTCCATAGATGGGATGGGAGATGTAGTCCAGCCCCCACCTAGTGGCTCAGGTATGGGTGGGTGGGTGGGTGGAGGGCTTTCCCTTGTTTTATCTGTAACACCCCCTCCAGCTTTTAATTAAAGCCCCCCCCCCACACACACACATCCCGGAGCCTGAGTCCAAAGGTAGACTGCCCCTTGCTAGGGAAGCTTGACCGCAGGCATTGCAAAGGAGCAGCCCCCGTGGGTGGGACTGGAGGAAACTTTGGTGGGATTCAAAGGTGGTGGGAGGGAAATGGGGGGGGTGTCCCATGTCTTCTGGATCAGCAGTTGGGGGGGCAGGATCCTCTCCCAGCATGCAGGGGAGGGTCATCCAGATCTCCAGTCCCCATTGTAGGAATTCCGTCCTTCCATCCATCCATTTTCTATTTATCTATTCCTCTACTTATCATCTCCCTCTCTCCCCCTCCCTGTCTTATCTACCTTCTTACCTCTCTTCCTCCCCCCATGCAGGAGCCCGATGGTGACAGGCACCTCTGTCCTGGGCCTGAAGTTCGAGGGCGGGGTGATGATCGCGGCCGACACGCTGGGCTCCTACGGCTCCCTGGCCCGATTCCGCAACCTCTCCCGGATCATGAAGGTCAACGACAGCACCGTGCTGGGCGCCTCGGGGGACTACGCCGACTTCCAGTACCTCAAGCAGGTCCTGGAGCAGATGGTGTAAGTGGCTGGGCGACCCACGGCCGGCCTTCGGGGGTCCCAGATGGCTCCTTCGCCCCCTGGATTTGCCTTGAAAACAAGGAAAGGAGGAGCTTCAGACCTGGCTGGTTTTAAGACTTGTGGACTACCAACTCCCAGAATGCCCTATAACCAACACAACCGGCTGGGGAATTCTGGGAGTTGAGGTCCACAAGTTTTAAATTGGTCAAGTTGGGAGACCCCCCTGAGCTAAAAGAAGCCACATGATTCAGCTTTGATTTGCTGTTAAGATGTCCCTGATGAGCCTGATTTTAATTGGTGTGAAGGTTTATTTTAAACTTGTTGAGGACTTCCAGGTGGGACCTCCAAATTAGCATCAGGAGAGGCAACGCTGGCAATACCTACTTCCTGTTATCAGTCCTGCAAATAAATATTTGGATCTGTAAGCTGGCTTGTTAGAATTGAGCCCTTCCTGGGGCTGAAAGCTATTTCTTGACCCTTTCCATGGGTCACCCCCTTGGGCAATGCCCAGACCCTGTGGCCTTCGCCAGGGGTGTGGATGGTGAGAGGGGACGATTTTCCAGCTGGTCAATTGGTGGCTTTGGGGAGCTGCGTCTCAGCTGGGCCTCCATGTCTTGCAGGATCGACGAAGATCTTCTGGGCGACGGGCACAGTTACAGCCCGAAGGCCATTCACTCCTGGCTTACCCGGGTCATGTACAACCACCGTTCCAAGTTGAGCCCTCTCTGGAACACCGTGGTCATCGGTGGCTATTCCCATGGGGAAGGGTAAGGCTGGGGGCAGAGGGGGGAGAAAGCCGGGGGATGGTGTCCTGGCTGGTTCATGGAGTATTTCTCAAAACTCACAAATGTCTTGGGCTCTGTTGCAGTCGTAATCCGAGGACTTACCTTTTTTTGTGTCATTTCCTTCATGTTACGTTCACGGTCACCCGACAGTAGCGTATAAATTGAATTTCCATCAACCAACTGCTTTTAACTCAAGTTTTGCCTTCCCATCCTCCCCACTGTAGCCTTCTCCCGATGGCGGAAGGCTACGGCAGGCCACTGCAGCCCCCTCAATCTCTCCTCTCTCAGCTTCTTAGGCTACGTCGACATGCTGGGTGTGGCGTACGAGGCTCCTTCGTTGGCAACTGGATACGGGTCCTACGTGGCACAGGTGGGGCAGGCGGTGGAGACACTGGCATTTTTAGGGTCCCGGATATGAACTGGGCTCCTCCAACTGTGCTAAGCCATTGTGGCTTCTCTTGGGATTAGCACCCCGCCTTGCAGATTTCAGCCAGCCTCGTTTTCCAAGCGCTGGGGTGCCGAGTTGTGGCTTATTCAGCCAGCCAGAGATGGGTTCGAGTCACGGGGCTGAGTTTTTAATCTGGTTGGGTGTGGCTGTGCAGTTGAGCTCCCTCCATTTCTTCCGCCCTGTCGCAGCCGTTAATGAGGGAGGCGCTGGAGAAGACCCCCAGCCTGTCCCAGCAGGCGGCCCGAGCGCTCATCGAACGGTGCATGAGGATCCTGTACTACAGGGATGCCCGCTCATTCAACCGGGTAAGAGGGGGCGTCTGTCCTTCCGCAGGCATATGGGAGACCCAGCCCAGTCAGGGCTGGCGTCTCCCTTTGAAGGGAGGACCGGATCCTAACTCTCTGTCTTCCGTCTTCAGTATGAGATCACCACCGTCACTGAGAAAGGCGTGGAGGTGGAAGGGCCCCTGTCCTTGGAGACCAACTGGGAGATCGCTCACCTTGTCAGGTAAGGTTGCCGGAAAGTCTTGGCCTTCTAGAGGTCCTCCTGGTCGTGTCCTTACAACTCTCGGGGCGCCCAGCCCCGGTGAGGGCCTTCCCTTCCTCCCTACCCTGGATTGTAGGATTGTTTTCAAGACTTTTGTGACGTTTGCCTGCTGCTAACTCGGCTGGTCTTTTTTCTTCTTTTCCTTGCAGCGGTTTCGAATGAAGCGGGAAAAGTCCAGTTTTTCTATTTGTTGAAGACAGAACCCCAAATCCTTTGTTATGCTGTTCGACGCTCCTGGGGGAGCACTCTTTAATAAAGACACTTGACTATGTATTACAGCTCTTCTGTGTGAAAGATTTTCTAGAGACTTCAGTTTCAGGAGGGGTTTTTTTGTCCCAGGACTTTTTGGGGGGGGGGCTCCTCGTCTGCATAATCTTATCATCTTTTCAACCTTCCAAAACAGCTGAGCTTCCATTCCCATAATCCCCAGCCAGCACAGCTAGAGTTCCAAACCAGCCTAGAGGTTAAAACAATTTTGGTTAGGTCCTACCAGAACATGAAAAAAAAAAAAAAAGCATTTTCTACTTTTTTGAGATAGAAAATTTTCTACCTAGCAACGCTAGGTATGCTGTGGATTCTAGTATAAGTAGTTTGAGATCTCTGTTTTCTACCTGGAAGGATTTGGGGGCTACTCAGACATGCCCTCTGTGGACAAACTAGCAGCTGTGCTCCTTTTTTCAAAAAGCAAAATCTATGGGAGCTGCAGCAACCATGCTATGCCACTAGAGGGCAACAGCTTAGAAGAGTCTATCTATGCTGAACCACTAGAGGGCAGTATTTTCAAATCTTATAAAATATGTGTGTCTTCATCTGAAGAGGAAATTGGGGGGGAAGGGAGGTTATAATGCCCACACTACTTATCAGCAGGTGATCAGGCACTTTCCTGCTTACCATCTGCCTGGGTTTCACAGCTCCAGAGCAGGAGCAGAATTCTAGCAGGCCAGCTCTCCCGGTTTCTCTGCGGCTTCAGGTGCTCTTAGAAATGTCTACTGCAGATGGATGAATTCACAATCACAGAAGGGAACTAGACTTAGGAAACAACCATGAGAAGCAACAAGAAACTAGCATTACCTTGCGGGACTTTTAAGGGATGGGCACGAGGGTCTCGAGAGCCCACAGGCATCCCTGGTCTTAAGCCAACTTAATTCAATGAGTGAATTCTCAAAACTGCGCTAAGTCCAATTTGTGAACCTCGCTGCATTTCAAACCCAGGTTTCTTTTTCTCTCTCTCTGTCTGGCTGCCAAACCCTTTTAAAAGATTCTCCGGAATGAAAACACGTGTTTATAAATCCATTTCCCTGGCTTTATTAAATGTTCCACATATGTACATTTTAAAGATGAACCATTTACAGGTCAGCCCACCCTATTTCCTGCTTCCCTTGAGTTTGGCCTGGGGGTGTTGGGGAAGGGGGGGGAAGATTAGGGAAGGTTTTGGGAGTGGGGTTGGTTTTTTTTTCAACCTCAAAAGGAAAAACAGAAAAAGATGTACAGGCTGAGAGAGTAGGTGGTGGCTTGTTTCTGCTATGTGTCAAAATGTTTTTTCATTGTTTAGACCATAATACGTTACAATTTTTTTAAAAAAAAACCTCAAACATGCAAACAGTAGAAAAAAACATCCTTTTTTGTCTGTTTTTTTTTTATGCTGGCAGTGTAAAATAAAACAGGAGATTTCCCTCATTTTTGTGCATGTCAGAGTCGGGTTCAGTTGCAGCACTTGAGTCGGGGAACGTGTAGTGTCTTGATGTCTCCGGCGAAAGCAGGTTCAATAGCAGAATTTTTAAAAGGCGATGTCAGGCGGGTCCGTTAAGAAGAGAATCCGATTGGCAGCCAGAGAAGGGGTCACACCGGGGTGTGACCTGCCACTGTGGTCTCTCGGTAGCAACTCGGATAAAAGTGGAACAGAAAAGCTTTTGCATCAACTGCAATGAAATCTGGAGGGGCTTTTCTACAAGTGAAGTTTTGCTTTTACTTTCACAGAACACGTCCAAGTTCGTACAAAAACGTGAGGGAGGCTTCACCTCCCCTAAACAATAATGCCTGCATTAAATTGCTGTTCTCTTCTCCTTTCCATAAAGCAATCTTCCAATTTTTGTGGGCAGCGCTAGAACGTTTTTCAAAGGTTAAAAAGTAAAGTATTCATAGCTAAAAAACAAAAAAAAAGTTACCCAGAAATCTACGTTTCCGGGTCCAAATGTTACAGGGAAGGAGAAAAAAAGCGCGAGATTGAGAAAACTTCCATCAGCTACATCTCTTTTCTTTGTCTTCCAAAAAAAAAACACAAAAAAAGTCACATTGATAATGTGGTAGAATTAAAAACTTGTTTTGCACGGTATAAAAAAAAAAACAAAAAACCAAACCCCAGCAAAATAAAAACCCAGAAACTATAATACAGTGAGGTAAAGAAAATGCAAAACGAAAACCAAATAATAATAGTAAGTCCACCCACAATATATCTTCAGGAAATGCCACAACAGTGATTTAAGGGGGGGAGGGGGGGAAACACACTTTTGTTGTTTTTAAAAGGACTCGAACAGCATACACGGCCATTGTTAAGTTTGCGTGTTCACCTACGCGTCTCCTACAGCCACAAATCCACAGGGAAGCAGAAAGAAACGGCCTCTTCCAACCAGGAGTTTTTAAAAAGAGAGAGTGGAATTAAATCTCCTTTCTCCCCCCCCCTTCCCCTCCTTCGGCCTTCACGCTTCCATCAGCTCCAGCTCCGCGTCCTCAAAGCCGTAGAAGGACTCCGTCTCGCTCTCCCCCTCAAAGAGCTGGTGCAGGATCTCGGGGCTGGTGCACTCCTCCGCCGGCCCCCCCTCGTTCAGGTCGCCCTCCTCGTCCTGCAGTTGGCTGTTGAGCTTCAGCTGCTCCTCCAGCGAAGCGATCAGCTCCTCCTGCATGTCGGCGTTGCGGCTGGGCGTGTTGGCTGTGCCGTCCGGGCCAGGCAGGACGCTGGCCACCAGGAACGACTGCTGCACCAGTTCGGGGCAGTCGCTGATGACCTCCAGGGCCTCGGCCAGCCAACACAGGACGAGCTGCAGGAGGATGTCCGAGTCGCAGGAGGAGTCCGCCATCTCCTTGGCCTGCTCCTTCCACTTTTTGTGCACAAAGTTTCTCACTGTTCTTTTGATGCAAACGTCCAAAGGTTGGATTTTGGAGCTGCAAGCGGCCGGCACCACCGCCGGCAAGGTGCTGGACGAGCTCAGCATGGCCAGGACCTCTTCGGAAAGGTGCGTCCGGTGGCAGTCCAGAACCAGCATGCCTTTGCTGCTTTGGCGCTCGATGTGCTTCTGCCACACTTTGGAGGACCAGACCTCCATCACCTCGTCGTCGCTGTAGCCGCTCTCCTTGGCCTCCAGCAGGATCATCTCCGGCACGTTGGCGGCCTGCTCCAGGCGGCCTCGGTAGAAGACCACAGTGGGCAGGACGCTCCCGTCGGCCAAAATGGCCAGGACCACGTCGCACCAGGGCTCCCCGGTGCCCACCATCTGCAAGGCGTTCTCCTTCTGGTCGTCGCTGCAGAGGACCTCCACGTCCAGGAAGAGGGAAAGCTCGTCGATGGCGGCGATCATGGAGAGGGGCAGGTCCTGGGTGTGGATCTGGCCCTGCACGAACTCGACGAAGCAGCCGGCGTTCCCCTCCACGTCCTTGGGGAGCGGGTGAGCCACCGCCCGGCGGTTGTGCATGCTGAGGTTGTGCCGCAGCATGAACCGGACGGCCCACTCGTAGGAGATCTTGAAGCCGCCCTCCAGAGACCGGCCGATCTTGGTGGCCTTCTGGAAGAGGGTCTCCTCGTTGACCGGCAACTGCTGCTCGCGCTGCGCCAGGACCCATTCCGCCAGCTTCTCCTCCGCCTCCAGGCTCAGGTACTTGCCCTCCGACAGGGAAGCCACGTTCTCCTCCTGGAAAGCCTGGAAGCGCCTCAGCCAGCGGCAGATCCGCCGGGGCGGGTTCTTAAAGTGCTCCGCCGCCTGCTCGGTGTTGCAGCACAGGGCGAAGAGAACCACCCGCAGCTTCTTCACGGAGAGCTGCTCTTTCCTGCTGATGGGCTCAGGAGCCTCCTTGGGCTCGGGCTCCTCTTCGCGGCGGTCCACTGTCAAGACGTTTGAGGCCTCGTTCTCCTGGACTGGGACGGCGGCGGCGGCAGGAGATTGGCTGGCCTCCGGCATCGGCTCGGGCACCGCACCCAACACTTCCTGGGGCTTTTCCTCCTCGGGCGGTGGAGACGGTGCGTTCACAGTGATGGCTTTGCTGGGCGGGGAGGGGGAGGCGGAAGGCTTGGTGCCTCGTTCGAAAGGCTGGGCAGGCCTGAAGAAAGAGAGGGAGGTGAGGCATCGCCCAGAGGGAGGGAGGGGAAGGGGGCAAAGCCTACCTGGACAGGTAACAGGTAATGGCTTACCTTGGATGGGAACTCCAAGCAGGACCTGTGAGAAGCAGAAAGGAGAGCTTCAGCTTACGACAACAAGAATCGTATTCACCCTCATAAACTGGCTGGATGGACCGGCCCAAAGTTCTTTCTCCCCCCCCCCAGTCCATCTGCCCCTCTCTTCAGTTAGGGGGCACCAATGGCGGGCAGCTTCCCCTCGCAGCTTGACCTCCCGAGTCTCATTATAGGTAGTCCTCAATGTACGACCGAAATTGGGACTTGAATGTCTGTCACTAATCGATGTGACCATGAAGCGAATCGCTGTCTCCCCAGGCCCAATTTTACCACTTTTTTGGGCCTTGGTTCTTAAAACGAATCCCACGGTCGTTACGCAAACCTGGTTTCCCAACTGGTTTTGCTCCCTGAAAAGTCGCTGTTGGGTTTTTAGCACCGTTGTTAACTTTGAACGGTCATTAAAAGAGTGCTCGTAAGGTAAGGACTGCCTGTGCCATTGGGCTCCCTCCCTCCCTCCCTCCCTCCCTTTCTGGGATGGCAGACCCAACCGGTGACCGGCTGAAGCAGGAAAAGCCCCCAGGGACGGCCAGGCCGCGTCTTGCCTCGCAGAATGACGTTGCTGAATTCGTGAGACGGGTTGAAGACCAGGTGCTTGGCCATGGCGTCGCCTTCCGACGTGGCGAAGAGGCAAGCGGAGCACGCCAACCGGACCCCACTGGCAAGAGAAGCGAAAAGGAGCATCGCCCTGGCTTCAGGTTTTCTGCCTCAAAGGCCTCCCCTTCACCCCAAACACCGGGATGGGGTTGCCATCTGAGAAAGGCAGCTGGGACACCCAGGGCTGCCCGGCTCCCCTCCCTCCTCAGGGCTACGGGATCCAGCGGAGAAGACCAGGCTAGAGAAAGGATTGGAGACGCCCCCCCCCCCTCAAGTCTGGAGAGATGCAGCCTCTTACCAAGCTGTGTAGTTTTTGAACAAGGCCAAGTATTTCGGACTTTTGCGAGGGACGTGGTTGCTGGAAAACGGAGCAAGGAAAAAGAGCAGTTGTTACACAACGACAACGCTTCAACCCCGGTGAGTGACCTGGAGAGAAGCCCCCAATTTCCCCCTTACAGCAAGAAAAGCTCAGTGCCAGAGAGGGAGAAGAAGCTCGTAGCCACGTCCGTGGAGCTCCCAAGAGCAAAGAGCCTTTTCCTTCTGCTTTTAGGGCTAGTGAGGCAGGAAAACAAACTGAATTTAATGGGCTCAGGCTGCCAAGAATCTCCCCCAGCCGGCCGGCCATCACTCGTGCTCCTTCAAGCTCCCTTCCCAATCAAGACTCTCTGCTCCCTTCTGGCCCCGGACGGAGCTCCTCTGCCCCGGGGGGGGGGGGAAGGGCAGCCCAAGGCCAGGGCCTCGCCCAGTGCCACTCACTTGATCATGTGGTTGGCGTAGGCGCGAGAGCAGCAGGTGCTGTAACGGCAGAGCGAGCAGTGGACGTAGGTGGGGAAGTGGTTGGGGAAGTCCGGGATTTCGAAACTGCACTCCAGGCAGGTCTGCCTGCCCAGGACGCTCCTGCCGAGAGGAAGGGGGGGGAGAGACAAGTTAGAGCCAGAGGGGGGTGGGGGTCCCAACAAAGGGGCAGTCAAGGGGGGGGATAAAATATCCAACGCAGAGGGGGAAAAAATCTCCCCTTATGTTTCCAGAGCAAAACATTAAACTGAAAACACGGGGGGGAGGAGTCACTGAGGACCCCCAAGAAGGAAGCAGCACGGCAGCCAGTATTTGGGGAACCCCCTCTCAGCCCCACCCATTTAGTGAACAGTCACTAAATGAATTGCTGTTCAGCCGAGGCCTAGCTGTACTCAACCCGCCCCATCCTCTGACTGAACATCCACCCCGCCCCCTGTGGACGCGCTCTGATCCCGACCCCCAGCCCGGGGGGAGCAGCAACCAGTGCCCAGCAACTGTCTAAAGTGTCTTAAGATGATTCTGAAACTTGGAGTAAGAAGCTCTGACATTTTCCTGACGGCCTTCTTCTGGATGCTCCTCTGGAAGGGCGGGTAGGGGAAGTTCGGCTGGGGGTCTGAAGAGGCCGAGAGCAAGGCGGCATCCTGGAGGAGGCCCGGGGGCACGTCGTTTGCGCAGAGGGGCAACGTCCGCGGCTGACCTCGGGAGGCCCTGATGGTCACCTGTGGCCCACAGGAAGAGAGGGAAAAGCATTCAAAATCTGGGGGGGGGGAGAGAAACGTTCCCTGAAGATGGGCTCCTGCACGACTCCAGAAGCACGGAAGGCTAAGCCTCTAGTCCTGGTGACCAACGACCCGGATTGGGTCCTGCGACGCTGTCCTGGGACATGCAGGACAGAGTAAAATAATCTGGGTAAAAATAATCCCCCGCTTGCCCCAGATCGGAACTCTGCTTACTCTCAGGAAGGGAAGACGGGCAGGTAGGAAAACGGGGGTAACGGCAGCCTCGTGTTTGCCCTGCCTTGCTGACTTTCTGCATGCAACCCCCTCCCCAGCCTGGAAGGGCAGAGCCCCAGACAGGGCGAAAAGCCTCCTGGCCCCAGGCAAACCGGCCCAGCTGCAGGCTTCTCCACCGGCCCAGCCCTCAGCGTCGGCAGCGGCTGTGTACCTTGGTGCCCGGCTTCAGCCCTTCCAGCTGCTTGGGCTTACGGAACGTTTTGTGATGCTGTAGCTTATGCTCGATCTTGTCCTTGGCAAAGAGGAACTGCAGGCGGCACTTGTTGCAGTGATAGACGCTCTTTTTCTATATGGGAAGGAGGGGAGACCCAGCGGTGATCTTTCTGAAAGGCGGGCCCTTCTCTCCCCCCCCCACAAGGGAGGCCAAGAAAGGAGGTGCTGGAGGAGGGGGAGGCCCACCTGGTGCCTCATGAAATGCTGCTGAAACGCCGTGCCGTTTTTGAAGACCTTGAGGCAATAGGGGCAGAGGAGGTGGCGGGTGTCCTCATGCACCATCCGGAAATGGGTGTCCACTTCGGAGTAGAGCGACGAACGGTACTGGCAAACCTGGAGGGAGGGGAAGAATCATTCTTGTTAGAAGGGTCCAGTGTCCGAGAAGGGAGTCGTCTGGGGGTGGTCAGGCAAGGAGCTTTTTTGATCCTCCCAAGCTTTTGAATATTATTTCCCTTTAGCCTTTTTGGGGGGTGGGGGGGTATCTGTCTCCAGAAACTTAGAAGTGCCAGAACTGGACCAGAGCAAAGCTTGGCCTCCCGGCCCCCCCCCCCGAAGCGTTTGCGGTACCTGGCAGACGTAGGGCATCTCCCCGGGCTTGTGGGTGTCCTTCATGTGCTGCAAGAACATGGGCTCGCTCTCAAAAGCCCATTCGCAGATCTTGCACTTGGCTGCAACGGAGGAAGCTGGTCAACATTCACCCGTTCAGACATGGCGGATCAAAAGCGGAGCCCGATATGTTAATCTCTCCCACTTAGTTCCCTCTCTAAAGCGTGCAACGTCAAAGGCAGCCCTTTGAGATAAGACAGAAGCAGCTGCAAGGGGTGAAATCTCTCTCTCTCTCTCTTTCTTTTTTAAGGGGACCCCCTGCTTCCCTCTTCCACCTGCTAAGGCCGCACTGGGAAGCCTGCCTTTGAGGGCCCACTTACTGGTGGACTCGTACGGACTGTGGACGTTTTCCAAGTGACACTGGAGCTGGAAGGGCGTGGTGAACTGTCGGTAGCAGTGCTGGCAGATGGTGTGGACGTCCACCTCTCCGTTCTGCTGGTCCAGCTCGACGTGGTGCTTCATGTGATTCATGAACCTGCAGACAAGGAGACGGTCGTGCCCGTTTGGCTGGCGATGGCTGGGAAGCAGCCTTCTGGGTCCGACAGCAAGGGGTAGGGCTCGCAAGAGCCTCCCCCAAAAGACAGGCACCCGTTCCGAGCCTTTGCTTAGTCCGTAGAAGAACACAGCCCAAGGAAAAGCTGGACGGTATATCGCATTCGGATGTTTTTAGAGAGATGAGATAGGATCTTTCCTTGGTTAATGGTTCAGACCCCGTGAATTTCCATCCGGTCCTCTGCAATTATTAAACTGTGAAGCAGCTCTGGGTGGCTTGCCTCGTGAAAGCAAAAGTGCTAAGCATTAAAACACTGAAAATGTTAAATATTAGCAAGTTTTAAGCAGAAAACTGGAACGCTTTCTTTTTCACTACGTAGAGCGGCCCTGATCCGAATTCACTCCCCACCTTTTGAGAACAGGCTCAGTCTGAATTCTAGAGGAGACGAGGCTTCTCAAAAGGTCACAGGAGGGGGGCACCTTTCTCACCCCTCCCCCAACCCCCGTTATTCTTACCGTATGTTATTCTTGAGCCTCTTGGTGCAGTGCGGGCACCGGAAGGAGGTTGGCACCTTGGGGAAGGCCAGCAGCTGGCTCACTTTGCCCCCATCCCTGCCGTAGTAGAAGTCATCGACCAGCATGATCAGCTTGCTCTGCACCCCCTCGCTGGCGCCGTCGCTCGGCTCAGAGAGTTTGGCGGGCGGCGACAGGGCGGGGATGGGGGTGGAGGAGGGGGGCGAAGCCACCGCAACGGTTTTATCCGGGGAAGGGGGCTTGGGGGCTTGGATATTTGGTTCGGGCTCCAGGGGTTTCCCTTTCTTCAGGAATTCCACCATTTCGGGGCAGCAGTACTACCGGGAGGGAAAAAAACAGTCTTGCGTGAGCTTCAGCACTCTGGAAAGACAGGCTGTGTGAAGGAGGGCTTCCCCGCTCTTCTCCGGGTCTGGTCTTTTGATGCCCCCACCCCGTGGCAGCCTGGCCTCATCCTGCAGGGCCGGAGCTCCAGGCTGCTGTGCAAAGACGTCTTAGGTGAAAAGGATGGCGTCTCTGGGTGCGGGGATAAAAATCTCCAAATTCAATAGGTATTTATCTCTGCATCTCACTTGCAAACCTCCCTCTGAGAAATGTTGGCATGGCTGTCCCCCGGGGGCACAGGGTCAAAGAGACTGGATGAAATGATAGGCTTTCCCTTGTCACGAGTGGGCTCTAGCGAGATTTCTCTCTGTTGCCCCCCTCCCATAGTTGAGCTTCTTTCGGGGTGGTCGTACTCCAGAAACTGCAAGCGCCCAGCCGATCTGGAGCGCACACAGCTCTTTGTGGTCCTCCCCTCGGCTACCTGCTGGGGCAGGAGCGGCTACTTACACACATGTGGCCTCTTAAAGCTTCAGTGACTCTAAACTGGGCATTGCAGCGAGGACAGGATTTCCGCCCACCGTCCTGCAGGTCAAACACCGGGATCGGCGAGGAACTGACTGTTAATGGCGACAGGAAAGAGAATCAGGGCAGAGAGAAAGAGGCCCAGCTGGAAGGGAGAAAGTCTCCAGGGTTCACTTGGGTGGTGGTCAGAAGGGGCTAGTCCTCCTCCTTTTGCTGGGATTTCTTTCCCCTGGGGAGAGTAAGGGGAGGCCAGCACACCCCTTTCCTAACGAAGAGCATCCCGGAGACCCTCTCCAAGTCCCTTAATTGGTCAGGCAGTTAGGAGACGCACCTTTCTGGGAGGAGGGCTCGGAGATGCCCGTCCTGTGGGAACCGTGGGCCTGGCTGTTGTTGGGCACCACGAGGGGGCCCGAGCTCTGAGCGAGCGAAGGGACGGTGTTCAGGGTGTTCACCAACTTGGCCACCTCGTTGCTGTTCTCCCCTCCCGCCACGCCGGGTTTCTTCACCGCGACAAAACTCGCAATGCTCACTGCCGGGAAGACAAAGAGAGAAACCGGTCGTTTTCATTCAAAAACGGAAGAGGAGGAGTCAAAGGACAGAAGTGGATTATGGGTGAACTGTCCTAGTGGGAGCGATGGTGGTGGAGGAAGAGGAGGAGGAGGAGATGCTGAAGGAAAGAGGACTTACTCTGCGGTTGCGCTTGGGACTGTGGGACCGTGTTCCGGATGGTCAGGGTGGCTGGAATGACCGTCGTGAAGGTGTTGGAGGCCGGCCGGACCGGCATGCTTGGAGCGGGTCTCACCTGGGCCATTTGGGAGAAAACCTGAGGGACGCCGACGGTGGGCTTCACAAACTGGGTGCCTGGGGCTGAAGGGAGGGAAGGGAGGGAGAAGAGGCGTGGGTGGGGGCTGACGCCCTTTGTGAAAGGCAGACCCCAGCCCTGTTTCAAACGCAGCAAAGCTGGAACTAAGGGGAGGCTGTTTATTTATTTTTTAGTTTATACGCCAGCCAAAGTGGGAGGGCCATTTGCATAACCTTGGTTCATTTGCATAGCCACACCCCCACGGCCTAGGCTCTGTGCCCCAAAAGGGGGTCATTCTTGCACATCATCCTGCCCTCCTGGCTCACCCCTCCCCAACTCTGGCCACCATCGCTCCCCCGCCGCCTTACCTGGGACGAGCGTAATCGGCCGGACGGTCTGGCCCTGCTGCACGTTCAGGACAATCCCCACCTGGTTCATCGTGTTTTGCACAGGGCGGACGTTGCGCACCGGGAAACCCTTTCTCGGACAAGCAGAAGGAGCAGCTTTAGGAGCGTTTCCCAAGCCCAGGCGAGAGAGAATGAGGCCAGCCTGGCCGGCACGCTCTGCTTTAAGGCCGCTCTGCCTGGCTGGCCCCCAAGCCAAATGAAACTCCAGAAAAATCACCCTACTCACTGCGTACTGTCTACATTGTACTCCTTTCAAAGTTAAATATAAATTAAAAATATCAGGCTGGGGTTTCAGATTTCTCAAAAAAAAAAAAAAACATTTGTAATTGTTTATCGTCAAAGGTTATCCCAGTTTACCCGTGACTTAAGCTTTTGCAGCAGGAAACTGCACCAGGCAGCCAGCTGTTAGCTGCAGAAACTTGCCCAAAAGGTAGAATGGGTTTACTTCCAGCATCTATGCCTTGAGAGGCGTTTGGGTGGGTGGGTGGGTGACTACTGGAAAACCAACCCCCCCCCACCTCCAATCGATGGCTGGTCTGTGTAGAATTAGCTCAGCCGGTTTTAAATGAACGACAGGCTAGCTGGGGAATTCTGGGAGTTGAAGTCCACCCGTCTCCAAGTGGCCAAGGCGGAAAAACGGAACATCCACCAGTTGGGACCAAACCCCCCCCTCACCTGAGTCGTGATGAAGATGGGCTGGCTGGTCACTGGAGAGTTGGTCACGTGGTTTGCATTCTGCATGACCTGGACAGGCCGGAGAACAGGCTGGGTCACCACCGTGCTTAGCCCGGAGGTGGGGTTCTGAGCCAGGAGGAGGGGCTGGCCCCCTTGCTGAACCAGAGGCGTGCCAGCTGGAAGAAGAGGAGAGGGCTGTTACTGGCAGGGGGCCAAAGACAGGGCTGCCCTCCCACAGCTAAGGGGTCTCCAACTCTGCCAGGCTGTCGGGCCCCTCCAGAGGGGCAGCGCAACTACACTCAGCCCCATTCCTTTCACACACAGAGGAAGCGACGCAGGTGGCGTTAGGCTGCTTACTGCGTTTATAAGGGGCAGGGGCAGACCGCAGGGTTGATGTAAACACAGGCAGTCCTCAACTTACATTAGGTCATCTAGCGACGGTTCAAAGTTACAAAAAAGGGACTCAGGACTGTTTTCCCCAGTTACGACCTTTCCAACATGGTCACGTGATCAAAAATCAGAAACTGGGCAGCGGATTCATTTTATGACGGTCGCAACATCTGCGGGGGTCACGCGATCCCCTTCTGCGACCTTATGACAAGCACAGTGGGGGAAGCCGGATTCACTTCACAGCTGAGTGAAAAAACCCACTTAACAAATGTCTCACTTAACAAAGGAAACTTTGGGCTCGATTGTGGTCATAAGTCGAGGACCGCCTGTATTTCAAGCCCCGGAGTTCGCACGGATTCAAACATGCTGCGTGAGCAAGCGCAGGAAAGCCCAGCTTCCCTCTCTCTGAAGAAACTGCACCAAAGTCCTCCGGGCCGGTGCCCATCCCAGGTTAGTGACAGGGCACAGACAGAGCAGGAAAAAGAGGTGAAAGAGTGCAAATTTTCCAAGCCCCCCCCAAATTGTTGGGGCGCTGCTAAGGGGGGGGGCAGAAACCTGACAGCTCCTCTCTCGGCTCCCCTGGGCGTTCCCCAAAGACCCGTCAGGATCCTTACTGCTATTGTTTGCAAAGAGAGTCACCAGCGTCTTCTTCGTGCTGTCACTGCTGGAGGTGCCGCTGCTGCTAACGGGCGTGGTGGGGAGGCCACTGCCGATGGACGCGTGGGCAGCGATCGGCACTGGGCTGGCCACTGGCTGCACGCCAACAGACACTGTCAAGGAGGAAACTCAGAATGGTTAGCGGGGTCTCCTGCAAGCACAACCAGGTTTTCGCGGGCCCCCTGGAAAACTGCCAGGTCTAAAACGGGGGGGGGGTGTCTTTACAAAAAGGGGACTGTCTTTTGGAGCTCACCAATGACAGGCATTATGGACTAGCAACTTTTATTGACTTATTTTGCAAGTCTTCTGCCATGGGCTTTAGGCCAGGCTGGTCAAGCTGGCCCCAGACTGTGAGATCCCAAACCTGGTGGCTACTATCCCGAAACACTCGTAGGTGATCCCAGCCCAACGGATCAGAGAAGGACGAGCTGGCTCTCCGGGTTACCCCGATTTTGGCAGCCCTGTTCTAGAAAGAGCTTCTCTGCGTTAGACAGTAGCCAAGGCTGTTCTTGATAACTCCCAGGAGGCAGGGAGGGAGCAAATGTGAAGAGCCCGCCAAGAAGAGGAAGACAAATTATTAAATATGTCAATCTGTTACACCCACAAGGAATATTAATAGCTGGGGAAGGAATTATGTGGAGATTGCTTTACTTTTTTTTGCACGCGGCTATGAGATTGTTTGAAGCAGAGAAGACCAGCCTTCCGTGACCTGGGAGTCTCCTAAGGTGGGTGCTGCTTGGGACCCGAGGCAGGTGCAGGGGCTCCCATCAGGATAAAGGAAAGAAAGACCGGAGAAGGCCGAGTCTGAGAAAGGAAGCGGAGTCTGTGCCCCGTCGAACGTGATGGCTCTTAAGCAGAGCAGCTCTCAGTAGGAACAGACTGACAGCTTAACAGGTCTGCTTCCAATCTCTTGGGGGGCTCTGTCTGTGCCCTCTGAAAATGCCAAGGTGCAGCAAGGAAAAAACAAACAAAAACAACCCAAAACCACACAGCAATTTATCTCTTGCACATCAGGAAAGTGGCCGCTAGAACCATCTGCTGAAATGAGCTGGGTAATGTAACGCGGAGATGGGCTTTGGGAGAGGACCATCACCTGTAGCCGTTTTGTCAACCGCGTTGTAATCTTCCACCACGGAATCCTCAATCACATCGCTGATCTTCTGCCAGGGTTCAAGTTCCTCCTCTTCACATTCCATAAACAGGTCCGTGTCTGCCATCTTTTTGGGGGGGAGAGACAAAAAGAGGAGGTCACCTTCTGGACAAGGGAGGAGAGAAAATTCAGCAGAGGGAGGGAGACATCCATTAATTGGGGGGGGGGAAACAGCACAACATGTGCAGCAATTCTGATCTCTCATCTTAAAAGGAACAAAAAAAAGGAAATATAATCTTGCAAAATTTTCCACATTACATTCGTCTTAATTAAACAACACTAAAAAGCTTTGCTGTGCAATTAGCTGTGTCCAATTATATATCATGATAAATGAATTACAACTTGGTGAAAGAGATGTTGGAGGGAACCAGTTTTTTTTTTAAATGAATCTTTTGCCATTTTAGTAAAACAGCATGCATCTTACTTTAAAATACATACAAGTAGATGGTAAATTACTGCTGTCGGTGGTATAGACACATGAAACAGTAACCAGTTCATTCAACTAAGGATCCTTCTACAATTCCTTCCCATTCTTTCTTCCAAACTCCCACTGTGGATATTTGGGAGGCTATCAAGATTTTTCTGCTCAATAAAATGATTTAATCCTTGCGATAAATATGCTAACATTTACTTTTTCCGCTACACAGATGACAGATGCTCTCTCTCTCACCAAAGCAGGCCGAGAGAATGCGCTAAATATATGACAGTTTATTTAAAACACGTAAAGAAAATGTAACATGTTGGAGAGTAGTACTCCTATTAAAACAGACAAGGTTTTGCAGGGATCCAGGATACAATCTACAGCTACTTCATGCTAAAGAAAAGAGACAAGCCTCAGTGAGAGGGAAGGACGGGCATTTTAAGAAATGGTTAGCAAAATGAGGACCTTTGGAATACAAGGTGCTTTTTCAAAGTTCACTCCGCACAGGTTAAATTGCGAGCCTCGGCTATGAAAAGTTTAGGAACTCTTGGAAAAGCTCATCAGTCTCCAATAATGCACGTTTTTATTTGTTAGGAAGCAACAGCTGTGGACAGAAGGCCTACCTCAACAGATGCAGGCAACAAGTGAAGGCAGACAGGCAAGTAAATAGCATTTTGTGCCTGGCCAAGTAAACCAGCTTCCTAAAGCAGCTACTTGCAAGAATCACGAATGCTAAAACATGGTGTGCTTTTCACACTGTAGACCTGCCTTGGCTTTCATTGCAATGGACATTCTGTGGGAACCTTTCAGTAACTTTAGAATTTACCATCAGGGATTGCTCCAGAAAATAACACCCTTGGGAAACGCAACAGATTATGCCCAGCAGTGGACTTGCACCATTTTGCCCAAAGAACATTACTGTGTTCTTTTTCTCCAAGATGCTCAGAAACATACCAGGAATATTCTGCACTTCCACAGAAAAAGACTCCTATCCCTCCACATCTCTCTTCTCCTAACCATCAGGCTGAAAAAAAAAAATCACTCAGGACTTGTTCAAATCCATCAGCAAAACAGGAGAGGCAATGCCTGTTTAATACCCAGTATTGACCAAGAGAGTAGTGCTAATCTTTGCTCAAGTTGCAGACTAATGTTGACAATTGGGATTTAGCTAGAATAAAGTTTATCTGGAAATGGTTTTCTTCATCCACATTCAAGTGTTTGTTTAAAACTGCAATTACAGGATCAAAATTGTAACTGAAATCAACATATATTATTTCCTTGTTTACTTTTGCTTTTACATTGTCCTTCTAGGATTACAAGGTGCAAAAACCTGAATTCTTGTTCAGAAACATATCCTTTTGTCTCTGTTTCTTTCCTTAATTTTAAAGCCCACTACAGCTACCTCAATTTCTTTTATACATGGACTTTGTATAATAATTGCACTGTAAACAAGGGGGGAATTGACATTCCTATGTCAGCTCTCGAAAAGAAGGCACTTGATGAACTCCACTTGACTTAGGCAGTCACAGCCGTCAAATGGGGTTGGTAAAGAAGATCCACAGATATTTAGGCAAAAAAGAAAGGCCTTTGCTTCAACAGCAGCTCAGAGCAACAGCCAGTCAATCGGTCTAGGAACAAGACTTCAGTTTTCCTCCCAAAGACAGCCAACCATTCAAGTATTCAATCCTAAATCAAAAATGCAAAGAGCTTAACCCATCCCTAGCCACAGAAACAACTGCTTTTGATTATTTGTTTGTAAGTCAGGAGAGAAATAAAAACAGTGGCCAGGAATCCATTGTAAAATCGCAACATGCAGCTAGTCCAATTTTTTGTTTGTCTCTTTCCCCATGAAAGAAACAAAAAAATAGACCATCTTTTCATCTTCTCTTAAGAAACACAAGATAAAATAAGCAATCTGTTGGTGATGCCCTACAATGTAGCGACCTAGTTGTGTAACTGATTACTCTTCAGCTAAAATGAAGTTACAATGTAAATGGTAGAAGGCAACCTTACTGTAACAACTAGAACAAACCAAAAGGCTGTGCGATCTTAAATGTTAATATTAACAGAAAATGTATTTTGTGAATTAGAGATCGTTCTGCCTCATATGTGATGGAGGGACGTGTTGTTTTTAGATGGAGCTTGAAGGTAAGGTCTCATAACACCTGTCAGAAGACTTGTGAAGTGAGGGTGGAAGACACTGGCACATAAGAAATAACTGAAAATACACAGACCTAGAAATACTAGTAGCTACAAATTGATAAGAGGCTATGCTATGTAAACAAAACAATACAGTTACCACATTGTTGTGCATGGTTATTTACTACACACTTGCTACATGATTATGTACTACAAATTCCCACTAGATTCAGGATAGGTTGGGCAAGTTCAGAGCCTGGTGCTATTCTAAAGCTATTCTACGTTTTTAAAAAATACTCAACAGAAGAAAAATCCAGAAGTATAGGAGAAAAGACAACCATTTTCTGAAGCAGTACTTCAAATTCAAAATGATCTGGGTCTAAGATGCTATTAAATGACCCAGGTAGAAACATCATGCATCGGAAAAACCAAGCACATTAACTATGACACAGGGAATTATCGATGAACAGTAATTCAAAATAGTTTAGGAATTATCCAGAATAAACCAAAAAAGGAAACACGACAGGTTATGATAAAATCCAGTCGTTTTGACAGCTGATCAGATTCAGAACGCATGAAGCAACACTTTTGTTGCAATCCAATATTGTAAGCATCTCAGAAAAGGCAGGAATAGAATCGTACAGGAAGGATAAATGTTTTAGACGTCTATTAGAAGAAGAAAGTGAGGCTATTTAGAGCATGATCTAGAAGCGTACGTGTATATTGTATATGTTTTTAATTCACTAAAATCTGAGGAAAAAAATCTGCGTGCACCAGAGTGTTTCTCACTTTACTCTACAGTAGGCCAGCATTGTACATGTTTATACCAATGCAACCAATGGAAAAAGACTTGTAAAGATGAGCTGCACCATCCCCATACGATATGGTTTTGCCTCCCATCTGAGGCCACCCACAGTCACATCAACTGTTGCATGTCAGGACAACCCTGACTTGTTCAAGAGTTTCAAGCGCTGTAAAATAATGTAAAAATTGAGCAGTTGCCAACCATGACGAAGTGTGGGAGTTTTCCCGGGATGGCGCTTCCTAGACTTGGGAAAAGGACGACAGGGGTTTACAGCATGGATCCGTTTTGCAGAGCGTGGCCAAGCGAACCAGACCGACACTTCCCCTGTCAAAAGCACAGCCATGCCACCAAGATGGCAGCTCTCCCAACTCAACCGTGCCCTCTCTCGCTTCTGCGGTCTGCGTACCGCCACCAACTCCAGAGTTGTGGGATGGGGATGATGGGAGCTGGGCAGAGCATGGCCGAGGCTGCCTTTGGCCGGTCGCCTTGCAAAGCAACACGGGGCAAAGGAGGAGGAGCCCACGGACACCTCTGCCCCACGGATGCCTTCAAGAGGGCTGGAGGCCAACGCTCGGCCTCAGCCCAACTACAAGGAGGAAGGTGGGCCGTAGGGCAACAGGTGTCCGGAACGCCGTGCAGGGGTGGGCATCAGGGGCATCACCATGCAATGCACTTGGAGCATGCCAAGATGATGGGAGCTGTAGTCTGAGGTGCCACCGCAGAAGGGCTGTCCTGGGGGAGGGCCCCACCAGAAAGCCCCCCCCACTCCTCCAAATATTTGTCTGAACCTGGAAGGATGGAAGCCAGCAACCAATTCCCCTCCCCATTGATGCCACCCCACAGCTCCCCCCACCCCAACACAGCCCCTCCCCCCAACCACGAGGATTATGAATCAGCACTGGGTCTCCCCCAAAGGGGGGGAGGGCGAGAGAAAGTAATCCCTTCCAGCCAACATGGCCGCCTGCCCAGAAGTGAGGACAATGTTGCTGGGGGGGGGGGCTGAGAAACGCCACCCACCCACCCAATGCGAGGACGTCTCCCTATTTCCACGCATCTTTTTTTTCCTCCTCTTCCTCCTCAACGCCCCCCAACAAGGGCCCAGAAAAAGGGGGGAGGGGAGGAAGCGGCCTGCGGAGGGATCTGACGCTTCACTCCCTTATTCTCCTCCTCGCGCCCCGCTCGCCCCGCCCCTCACGGCGAGAGAGGAGAGAAAAAAAAAGAATCCCGGTATATCGCTCCGCGCTCGCCTCCTAACGAAGCGCGGGGATGGCCGCCGCCTAGCGGAGGGCGACGAAAAAGGGGAAGGCCACGCCTCTTTTCTCCACCCCCAGCCAATCGCCGTCCTCCCTGAGCCGCTCGCTCGCTCCCTCCCTCCCCCCCCGCTGAGGGAACCATCTCGCGCTCGCTTTTGTGTGTGCCGCGCGCGCCCGCCTCTCGCGCGCGCTCTTCCCTCAGCCCGCCGCTTCGCCCTCGTGGAGGGGGGAGTTAATGAAAAAAAAAAAAAGAGCGCAAGAGAGAGAGAAGCCCCCCCTCCGCCCACGGGGGCGGTTCGAACCGGTTTCCAACGGTTCCCCCCACCTCTGAAGGGCCCCGCGCACGCGCGCTGCACCCCCTGCCGAGCGCGCGCAGGGCTCTTCCCCCCACCTCCCTCCCTGCCCCCCCGCCCGTCCCGCCGCCCCCCGCCGCCGCCACGCGTAACGGG